GTCCAGCGCGCATCGTCCGCCCAAAAGAGTCACCGAAGACTGTGCAGATTAAGTCCAAGAAATCGCACGGTAGCACACTGTCGCGTACTACATCGCGAACTTCGACCAACCTACGCGATTCCCTGAACAGTCAGACATCTTTTGAGACGACAAATGCCAACGACTCCACACCTGAAGATGAGGACGAAGACAAGCAACTGTCGGATGACAGTGCCAGTAATAAACAGCAGCTATCACCTGTCGCTGAGTCGCCAATCTCCAAGCTGCGATACCCAAAGGTGCCTCGGTCTTCGAATCAGCTGGTACCGCGTAGCCCAAAGAGTTCGCCACAGCAGCAGAACTTCAGAAGTCCACGTAGGGCCCCAGACGCGTCAGCACTTCTTCAGAAACGCAACAATGCTCTTCCGCCACTACTACTCGAGTCCCGGCCTAGACTAGAGAGCCCTCACCGAGACCCGTTTACATCCCCGCCGCGTGTGACTAGTCCTCCGCGCAGGGCTCGGTCACACATGCGCAGCAACAGCACAGAGTCGTGGAGCACGACACCTGCTTCAAAGACGGGTATCGACCGTAAGAGTCGCGTGCAGAGTGGCGCTTGGGGTAGAAGCCCAGTCATGTACGAGGAAGACGTCGTGCGGCCGTTGAATGTGAGGAGGAAGAGAGACGAGATGTCCGAGTTGAACATCGGCCGAGACGTAAACGTCGACTTCGATCGGGACGGATTGAAGAGTCCTGCATGGGTACCCCGACTCACGCCGAGGAAAAAGGGCGAGGACCTATTCCTGGAGGTCGGGTGGAGATGAGGAACTGCGAGGTGAAGTTCGATTCTTGATTACATAACCTTTTCTTGTGTATAGATTTTCTTAATGAATGATGATGGCGGAAATGGAGGAGGGGATGGAAGACGACAAGACTGTCATTTCCTTTACATGTTTGTATAGTACGAGATAGATACCCACAGCGCTCATTTATCCTTTTACGTATGTCGAAATTGTAACAATACATATATTGATTTTCCATGGTTGACCCGTCAATCAAACAGCCTGGTTGAGCGGCCTTGGTACAGGGACTCCTTGGTGTTGAGATTGTGATTAGCCAGCCAGCGGTATATAGCACGGCGGGCGCGCTATTTACCCAACTGCCCTAGCAGTCTAGTCTCACGTCGTCGCAGTCTCTCAGCGCAACCGGAGAATAAACAGGTTAAATGTCCGGCTCTAGTCGAGACATCTGTATTGGGGCTTTCACGATTGAGCCTCATGTACGCAGTTCTGTTTCGGCCGCGGCGCCGATCCCGGGTGTCGCGATAGCCGCCCGGAAGAATTCTGTCGCATCGTGAGTTTTCTGCATGGTGCAACACGTTGGAGCAAGAGTTTGAGAGAGGCGTTCCCTGCGCTATCGGGGCACTGTGGTCCGCCAGTGCGGTCGTTCTCGGCGCATGGCGGATGCAGAGGGAACAGAGGCTGGCCAGGGCAGGAGGTTAGTAATGGACAGTCACTTGCAGCTGCAGCAGCGCGCCATTGACCGGCAGGACGAGACACGGCAAACCATGTCAGCACACGGCGCAGGCTTACTAAAAGCAAAACAAGCAGCAAGCTGGTATGCGCGGTGTGCTAGCAGGTGGGATGTGGCATGTTGTGGCAGAAAGTGCGGCGACTGGTTGATGTAATCGGGCTTTGAGAGACCCCACTAATACGTCCACTCTGGCGTTATGAGTGAGGCAGGCATGACGGCTAGCCACCCCACTATAACTACAAAACCTAAACACCAGCACGTCTGCGACAACTTCTCTTCTTTCAATCTTTTCCCCATCGACAGATCTGCCCATCATGCCGTACGGAAAGACCGATGAGCTCGCTATCAACACCATCCGCACCCTAGCGGTACGTTACATCCCTCTGTTGTTTTGGAGGCCGCCCCACCATTATCAATAGCTACCCCGCTAGCAGTCCTGCTCCCAACAAAAGTGGCAGCAGCTTGTTGGAGGCCGTTGAGGGTCGTTTGAGAGATCCAATGGCTGACTTTTGGTGTTTTCGTATAGGTCGATGCCACATTCCAGGCAAACTCCGGCCACCCGGGTGCCCCCATGGGTATGGCCCCGGTGGCCCACGTTGTGTGGAACAAGTTCATGACTTTCAACCCCAAGAACCCCAAATGGGTCAACCGCGACCGCTTCGTCCTCTCGTACGTACTTTTCTGTACTTTTCTGTACTTTTCCACACATACAATGGTAGTCATGGCAGGCTTGGAATCGCGCAATGGTTCTGGGGTGTCTTGGATGAGAAGTTGCGGATCTCCGCGGCGACGGCAGATAAAAGAGCATTGCTTTCTTGATGTCAGCCGTTGTCGGAGATCCCGTTGTGGCTTTTTCACCAGAGTCATCTCCGCGCAGACACATTGCTCGCATTGGGGTCTAACATCCCACGTTTTATCAGATGGAAAAGCTGACTGAGTGCCTAGCAACGGTCACGGATGCATGCTCCAGTATGCGCTGATCCACCTCTTCGGCTACAACGTCAGCATTGACGACCTGAAGAACTTCCGTGTACGTATTCAAGATAATTTCTACTGCCTGTCAAAACTAATTCCGCTGCAGCAAGTCGACAGCATCACACCCGGTCACCCCGAGTCCCACGACACCCCCGGTATCGAGGTCACCACTGGCCCTCTTGGTCAGGGTTTCGCCAATGCCGTCGGTCTCGCTATTGCTGAGAAGCACACCGCCGCCGTCTTCAACAAGCCCGGCTACGAGCTGATCAACAACCACGTCTACATGTTCTTCGGTGATGGTTGCGCTATGGAGGGTATTGCCAGCGAGGCTGCCTCCACTGCCGGTCACTTGAAGCTTGGAAACCTCATTGCCATCTACGATGACAACCACATCTCCATTGGTAAGTTTGGCAGAGAGTTCGAAAGGAAAAACGGGAACTGACGTCATACAGACGGTGACACCAAGTGCGCCTTCACTGAGGATGTCATGAAGCGATTCGAGTCCTACGGATGGCACGTACTGCACGTCGAGGACGGTGACTCCGACCTCGAGGGCATTGAGAAGGCCATCGCTGAGGCCAAGAAGGTCACCGACAAGCCTTCGATGATCAAGCTCACTACCACCATCGGTTTCGGATCCAAGCTCCAGGGTACCGGCGGTGTCCACGGAAACCCCCTCAAGGCCGACGACTGCAAGCAGGTCAAGGAGAAGTTCGGTTTCGACCCCGAGAAGATGTTCGCTGTTCCCCAAGAGGTCTACGACATGTACCACAAGCACGCCGCCGAGGGTGCTGCTGCTGAGGAGGAGTGGAACAAGCTCTTCCAGAAGTACGGCGAGGAGCACAAGGAGCTTCACGCCGATCTCTCTCGCCGTCTGACCGGCGACCTCCCCGAAGGCTGGCAGAAGGCCCTCCCCACATACAAGCCCACCGACGCCGCTATTGCCTCAAGAAAGCTCTCTGAGAGCGTCCTCGAGGCGATCCACGATGTCGTCCCTGAGCTTCTGTCCGGTTCCGCCGATCTGACTGGCTCCAACAACACCCGATGGAAGAAGGCCGTCGACTTCCAGCCCCCTGAGCTCGGCATTGGTGAGTGGTCTGGCCGATACCTGAGATATGGTGTCCGCGAGCACGCCATGGCCGCCATCATGAACGGCATGTCCGCATACGGCACCATCATCCCTGCCGGTGGTACTTTCCTGAACTTCGTTTCATACGCCGCCGGTGCCGTCCGTCTGTCCTCTCTCTCACACCAGCGCGTCATCTACGTCGCTACCCACGACTCCATTGGTCTTGGTGAGGACGGCCCCACCCACCAGCCTATCGAGACTCTCGCCCACTTCCGCGCTCTGCCCAACATGATGGTCTGGCGCCCGGCCGACGGAAACGAGTGCTCTGCTGCTTACTACATGGCTCTTACCTCCAAGGGCACGCCATCCATCCTCGCCCTCACCCGTCAGAACCTGCCCCAGCTTGAGGGCTCAACTCTTGAGAAGGCCATCAAGGGTGGTTACGTCGCTCTTGAGGACAAGGACGCCCAGATCACCCTCGTTTCCACTGGTTCCGAGGTCTCTCTCTGCTTGGAGGCCGTCAAGACCCTCAAGGACCAGGGCATCACCGCCCGTGTTGCTTCCCTGCCTTGCTTCGAGGTCTTCGACGCGCAAGACAAGGACTACAAGATGTCTGTTATCCCCGGCGGTATCCCATCGCTCAGTGTTGAGGTCATGTCCACCATGGGCTGGGAGAAGTACTCGCACGAGCAATTCGGTCTCAACCGCTTCGGTGCCTCCGGACCATACAAGGAGGTCTACGCCAAGTTCGAGTTCACCCCCGAGGGCATTGCCAAGCGTGCTAAGGCTACCATTGACTTCTACAAGGAGGTCAAGCCTCTCCGATCTCCTCTCGACCGTGCGTTCCAGCAGCTTATCTAAGCGTTTGCGTAGCGTAGGATCTGCTTTCTGGAAGTATTTGAGGTTTTGGAGCATCGTCTCTGGCTTTTAATGAGTGATGATATATAAGAAGCGGCAGCCCGCTTCGTGAAGGAGAAGGGAAAGTCATAACCCGAATGTATAGAATTTGATTCCCCCTTTGACCAAATATCCTGAATCTGTGTGACTACGAACTAGCTGACTGTAGAAGAGTGAAGATATCTTCTCATTACAAACTCTTGTGCATTGGCTACAATTTCATATCGAGTGAACGATGAAGCTAGTCAAAATAACTGCAATCGTCTATCGTTTCCGGACATCCCTAGCGCAAATCTCCCATCTTCTCAGTCGTCGTCCACCAAGTAAGGTGAGAGCCATGTTCAATAGATGTAAGCGTGGTGTCGAAAACTCGATCTTTCGCAGATCCAGCAAACATGAGTTGGGCACACCGTAATGGCAAAATCGGTTGAGTTCTCGCGCATTCGCTGGAATGCCACCAGAGTTGAGGCTAATCTCCCGACCCAGTTGTTGCCGGCTCGAATGACGCAGATACCGGTCGGCATATCAAGTAGCTCGTCCCACGTGTCTACTGCAGTGGCTTCATAATCTGGACTGGTGTTGATCGCGTGCTGGCATGGGAGTTTCGTGTCGAACCGGCGAAGTGTACCACATCTGTCTATGGCCGCACCCCTGTACCCGTCGACCAAGGGAATAGGATCTATATCAGCGACCCATTTCCCTTTGTCTTGGACGGAGATGACGGATTCGACAAACGATATCTGGTTGTCATGCGCACCTCTTGAGCCATCGAAGAGTGGGACGTGATATTCTGTGAAGGAAAGATGCACAGATGTGCTTTCGAACGAGCTACCCTTAGTTCCGTCGAAGCGACGATAACCATCGATTTTCCAACCCCCAATGTTGATCTCTCGTGTTATTGGTTCTTGAGGAGGCAAGAGGAAGGTAAGCCCTGGCTTTCCTATATTTCCTAGGATCCTCCGGAAAGCTCGGTAGTACGGCTTCTTCATGGTTTCCAGCGGGTCTTGAATCAACTACAGCTGTCAGAAGATACTTCAAATGCACTAGAAATCAACGTACCGCACTGGCTACAAACAGAGAGTTTGCATACGAGACGGCAATGACATTCTTCAGTTGATGCGGGTCGACGTCATGGGTGCCGGACTCGAAATAGGCTATTAACGAGAGTGTAAGTTCTGGAGACATGGTGACACGCCAAGTTTCTGAAGCCCAATGTTTGCTAGTCAGAGTAGAGTTGAGAATGTTGGCATCAACGGTAGCATCAGTCAAGCCATCGTAGATCAGGGCTGCTTTAGCAAAAGCGGCTAAAGTTTTCGAAACTCTCGAAGACTCTGAGATGCAGATATGATGTATCAGATTAGTGGGGCTGAGAAGGTCGTTGTCCAGGCACCACTGAAGGTCTTCGATCGTAGCATCCGAATGGTCTGGGACGAAGACATCCGGTATTTTACGAGCGAACAACGCTGCCGTCGTCGTATTACCCATTACATGATGATACACATAGTCGTCTGAAGGCTCTGTTGCGACAATCTTTATGCAATCATGCCAGAGGTTGAACTTCTCGTCCATATCGCGAGTAATCACTTCTCCATCCGGGATGGCAACGCCACGAAGATGTTTGGGCACCCATCTATGATGAGGCGTATTCTCCGCTTGCCCACATGGCACAGGAATCAAGGCAGTAGCCAAGAGGTAGTACCGAGAGCCATTCCCGTAAGCGTGTGATACGGCAACCGGCCGATGAGTATTCTGGTCGTCTTCAGCATCAGAGACATCCACGTCATCCTCTAGTATCTCGACCTCTGATTCAAAAGAGTAGTCAGAGTCACTTTCTCCTTCACTATCGGTCTGATCATTAACAGCTGCGGTAGAGTACTCGGAAGATATCCGATTTGCATGAGGCTCTTGCCGGGGAGTATCTTTAGCCGCCGGACGTTCTACGAGGGTCTCCGGTGCATCATGTGTTTGCAATGACAGGTCTTCGAGCGTTGTGGTGGCTGTGGACCCTGATAAGCGTGGAGTGTTCGGAGCGCTACTTCGACAAGGGGGTCGATCTTTATCGAGAGCTGAGGATTCGTCTACCCACGGCGTGCCGGGCTGAGCATACCGTATGATGTAGGCGTCTGATGGAATGTTCTCACTAGTTAAGAGTTCCGCTTTATGACGAAGGAACCTAATCTGCGATTCTGTATCCCTGAAAAGCGACATGAAGTTTTCGCCATCGAGTAGGTCGAAGAGAGCTGCAGATTGCTCATCAAGCTTGCGCGGATCATTCGAATTATACAGCAAACGAAGAGCCCTTCTGCGACCCAGCTGTATCAACCTACGAGTCATGTCTTGAGATCCGTTGAGAGGATTGATCAAAGCGGAAGCGCCATCTCTCAGTATCTTGAGCAGTCGCTTCTCGTGTAGAGACCCTAGCTGGGACATGTTGACTCTGTCGACCAGAGATATAACAGCTCTAGCAACCGACTCGCTTTCAGATTCCTCATACCTCCATTCTTCAAGCAAGACGGCAAATATCACAAGATCAAGCTGAGCAAGTGTCAGTCGACACTCGGCCCCAAGACCTCTCTCCACCTTGACTGGATGGCCGTAGTAACGTAACTGCGCCAGCGAAAGGGACCAATAGATGCTGTTTTCTCTCCCCGTGATGTCTGGTCTTTTCGATACACCGATGGACAATACACCACCTGTATCAACGAGTGAATCTCCCATCTTTACTTCGACCATCTCTGGGTCATAAAGGCTCAGATCTGGATAGAGATGCCATGCGGAGAGACCTAATAGCGCAGCAGCGTCTTGGACAGCCTGTGGTATTCCTGAGATCAGCCTGTCCATGGTTGTGATTGCTATTTTCCAAGTTTCAATGACGCTCGGAAAAACTGCTGGGCCACCGGGCGCGGCGAGGTCGATGTTCTTGAGTATTAGCTCAAGTTGCTTTTGTTGTCGGCAGAAAACATCGTCGGCAGTACGTAGCCAAGCTCTTGCACTAGTATCCCAAACGGCGAGTTGAGACCGGGAAATATCTTGTCCCACTGCTGCCGCTAATGAGAATGCGACTGGTTCCTCGTTGTCGACCTTGCGCGCTATTTCTCTTTTGCGCTCTGCTACTATCTCGACCCAGATCGCAATAGCTTCAGGCGCTGTCCACACGCGAGCAAGCAGACACGCCAATAGATGAACATGCAAAGCGCACTTTGATGAAGTAGCTGCCGCTCAGATAGAAGTCCCATCAATGCCAGTATAATCGCCGAAGAGTGTGCCAGCGTATGGCTCGGATATGACTTTCGAGGCTTGGGCGATTTCGGATGCTCGCTTGCCATACGCCTCCAAAAGCGCAGGTGTTGCCGGACAAATGCCATCGAAGAGCGCACCTAGCTGCCTAGCTAGAACGTGAATGGAACCGAGCTCGGCATTGTCTTTGCGCTTCGACGTGAGTACGTTTCCTAGGGCCTGGTACTCCTTTGGTGCCTCATACTTGACTAGGGTGAAGTCGAAGTTGAGGTTTGCTGCCGCGACTGTTACTTCGTTGGTCGCGGCCGCCAGTGCAGCTTGAAGTCTTCCTATGGCCATTAGGATGAGCAAAATAGCATGCGTAAGATAAAAAGATGAATGGAAAGACGAAAGCCTTGTTGGGCGGAGTAAATGGGGGTGGTGGCCGTCTTGATCTCTTTAATGCCTCAGCCTTGAGCTGCACTGCCCCACAAACCATGTGTAACTTCTCAACTGCCTATGAGCTCTAGCCACTGAGGGAACAAATCTTGTATGTATAATGTAGACTCAGCCTTGTCGTCATTATACTTAGGGATGCGTCTCTCTCGGCTTCCAGTGGCGCTGACGACCGTAAACACAAACGAAGGCCATCATAGCTAGGCCTGAACATGGCGCTAACATGGAGATGGCTTGACAGCCTCGTACGGTCGACTATTGGTAGCCTTCTCTCGACTCTCTGCAGATGGTCCTACAACCAGGAAGCAAACGATTGGCTGTGCGCCTAGCCTTGTTAGCAGGCTGTGCAGTCGGCCGGCAACGAGATGGCTTGGTCCACATGTACCATCTCTCGCTTTGGATAAATGATATGCATGCAGGTGGTAAGGTCAAAGGACGAACTGTCTGGTTGGTGTTAAGGGAATGTCTTTCGTGCGGGCTGAGGGGAGTCGCAGCGCGCAGTTACGACATCGGCGGGCTCTCCTCCGAGGCCGCCGCATCATCAACTTTTTGCGACATCATCGCCAGCATCACCACGCATAGCCATGATGTCGCGACCCGACGATGACAACGCTTCCGCTAGAAGCATTAGAAGACAACCATCGTCGCGCAGCCTATTCTCCGTCCCTACCCCAATAAAGCAGCTGTTCGACCAATTTCCTCTCATCACGTATCCCGTCAACGACTTCCCACAACGCGCACCACAACATCACGACACCCATGTACTCTATGTATTCACTACAGATGGAGGAGCAATTCGAGGCGCACCATCGCATAACCCAGCGTGTTTGAAGTGGCAGGTCAGTCCAATGCGATAGGTGCCCAACCCCCACCACCAAGCTCACATGGTCGCAGGCTTACCTCAAGTTTTCCAAAATACCCTTCAAAGTCGCCTCAGCAAACAACCATGCTTCTCCCAGTGGCTCGCTACCCTTTGTAATACCGTCCTCGCCAGATCCGTACAAGCGAACACAGCCTGTTCCCTCCAGCAAACTGCAACGATGGGCCATGAACAACAGTGAGAAGGCGATAGAAGAGCCTGGAGATCCGCGCTACGAAGCATACCTGAGTCTGCTAGACCATCGAATACGGAGAGCCTGGGTACGTTCATCACTAGGGACACTCAACTCATGGCTAACATATCCCAGCTCTACACTGTCTACCTCTCTCCCAACTTCACCACCATCGCCGAACCCCTCTACATCCTCCCAAGTTCCCGCAACCCCTTCGTGCGCCTCACGATCTCCCGCGAACTACGTCTCGCCGCCGAAACCGAACTGCTCAAGTTCTCGAGCATAATCAACGACGAGACGCTGTACAACCAGGCAGACGAGGCATTCGCAACACTAGAGACGCTGCTGGGTAAAGACGACTGGTTCTTCGGCGCGCATAGACCGGGCTTGTTCGATGCTAATGTCTTTGCGTATACACATCTGCTATTGGATGAGCAACTGGGCAAGGGTTGGGTGGACACGCGTTTGCGCGACGCGCTAACGACGCGCACACGCCTGGTCACGCATCGCGACCGGATACTTGCTAGATACTTTGAAGATGGGTCTTGAGTGTAGGAAGATACCCGGGAGCAGTAATGGAGTGAACGCTGTACGAATCTCTCATCGAAGTCCAGCCATGAACATCACGAAACAGCGACTACGCGCTTGCGCGAGGTCTACCTCTCATCAGCTCTGTTCGTGCTAGCTTGGAAGGACCGAACGCATGTTGAGTGAAGTTCGGACGTGGCGGACGCCGGGGGCAGGTTAGCGCGACCCAGAACCCAGCAGATGCAGATGTGACTCACGCTACGGAGAGCTGCACGACATATCGCCTAATTGGGTAATGCTGGATACATACTGGGCGTGAGAGGGCGTTCAGAAGAGTCATTGGCTGGAGCAGGTTGGCATATAAGACTTCTTCAGGCACCGAGCAGGAAAAGCATCAATCCTCAGGAACTTTACCCCACTTCAGATCTGCAGTAACTGTTCGTCATCTGTGTCCAGGCCCAGCCAACCAACCACCATCTACAATCAGCAACCTATCTTCCATTCCACATTCGAGAGCACTATTATCAACATGACACAGCCAACATCCATCGATATGACCTTTGACACGTCCCTGGTTGACGTCAACGCAGCCGCCAATGCCTCTTTCTCGACCACTGAATCGGACTCAACTGTGGACGGCCAACAAACGGCAAAGCGTACCCAAACCTTACAACCGACCACGGCTCCACAAAAGCCTTCAACTCCAGTCCAGCACATTCCGACTCAAGCCGCCTACGACCAATGGGCTGCCATCTACGACACCGATGGCAACATGTTGCAAGCGATTGACGATCTAGAGCTCCAGGCCCTCCTTCCAGAGTTCTTATCCCAAGTCAAGAACAGCACTGCAACAGAACAAGAGCTCCTTGTACTGGATCTAGGATGTGGTACCGGACGTAACACGGAAAAACTTGTGCGATACGATTGGAACGGGAAGAGCGTTAAGGTCACTGGTCTGGACTTCTCACAGGGCATGTTAGATGTCGCTGCGAAGAAGCTGTCGCCGTTGTTGAAGGAGAAGAACCAACAAGGGGTACGGTCCAGGCTAGAGTGCTGCGACTGTTTTCCAACTGTCGACAATCCATCAGCCTCTCCGCTACCTGCGGTATCAAACCTGCGACCCGTCCATGCCGTCACATCCACTCTAGTCCTGGAGCACATCCCACTGAAGGATTACTTCGCCACGTTAGCAGCATTGCTCTTACCTGGTGGCACGGCGTTGGTCACAAACATGCACGCGGACATGGGACGCGTCAGTCAAGCTGGTTTCGTCAATGCAGACGGTGTCAAGGTTAGGGGAAGTAGTTATGTCTACACAGTGGAAGAGACTGCCGCGGCAGCCAAGACTGCGGGGCTTGAAGTAGTTAGTGTTCACGAGCGGGAGATGAGAAAGGGGGACGTTGAGGGTGGTGCTGTGGGAGAGAGGGGTTGGAAGTGGGTCGGTACAAATGTTTGGTTTGGGATGGTTTTCAGGAAGACGTCGTAAGCTTTGTAACAGCAAAATTCGTAATATCATGAAGCGTGGTAGCTAGGAGGCATCTTCTCCTCGTCGTGCCCTCGCAGACTTCCATCCAGGTTCTGCGTCGAAGTTTTTGATCCACTTCTCCGCAGCTCTACAAGGTGCACTTCGTCATCCGCCTTTCCAACACCCTCTAGCGTATCGTCTACCGTCCTCGCCATCGTAGTGTTGAACAAGCTTGCATCCAGCATGCTTCTGCTGGGCTTGCCTCTCCTTTTTGATGGCCGATTGGGCGTGTCGTCGTCTTCGTTTGGATCCGAGTTGTTTTGCGTCGTGCCAAAGCACTTGGGTACTAACTGAGCGAGGAATCGTCGGAAGGCTGGCATGGAGACGCATATTATACCGACGTTGATCTCGAGAATGGAATATACGCCGGACATAAGGTTGTCGTACATGGGATTCGTTGATGTGGCGTATTTGGCGACGGCGCTGAGGCGGATGCAGGACACTATGATGGTACTGAAGTACTCTTGTCAGCATGCGGCGATACTTTACTAAGTAGATGGATTGACTTACATGCCACCAACGCCAAAGATTGCGCTGAGGAAGACCTTCTTACGCGGACTGAGCTTCAGCGTCATCAGATTCGGGATCGGTATCAGGACTATCGCGACGTCCAGGCCGATGTTGAACGCCGCTGCTACCAGATAGAACAGATTCTGGTTTATACAGTAATCCGGTGTGCTCGTGCCATCCCATGAAGTCCATACTGCGGAGATAGGTCTGCAGGCGAAGGTCATTGTAAATGCGAATGCGATTGTCCAGAGCACTGATATGACGATGAACACCCATATCCATTTTCGGGTCGTCTCGGAGGGAAAGATCCGGAGAAAGAAGAATAGGAAAGCGAGCTTGGTGAGCCCACAGCAGAGGAAGTAGGATATTTGGGAGCCGTAGGTCAGCTGTTGAGCAGTCAGTAGTCATCCAAACACATTGAGTGTCGTGTGCTTACCCTCAAAACCTTGTAGATATCGCCATGGGGAACTACCCAAGTGTCTTTCCCGAAACCAAGTTTCGGCGTGTAACATTGTATCACCGTCACAGGGAGACACGCTGCTTCGGCTGCTATTGCAAAGACATCGTCTAGGCCGAACGAATTCTGACTGATTGCGGACCACGTGCGAACGGTGACGGCGGCGAGAGCAACGGAACCTGCAGTGATACCCGTCAAGAATATGACGTTGGATCGGTCTCGGACAGGCCTCTCGCACATCGTGGAAGTAACGTTAACAGCAGCTGTTGTGAGCCTCATGTCAGCGCGGTTGATGTAGAGTCTGGTGGGGATTCTTACTGAGGGATTCTTTGACTGAGCAAGCGCCACCCACGCAGGTCTGGATGGCCGCGTTTATGGTTTCATTGTCACAGATACATTGCACATCAGTAGGTGCGCATGTTGTCTGGGCAGTGACAGCATTCTGCAAGCATTTTGCCTAGTACTGTCAGTGATATGCTCTCATAGAAGTGGAGGAGAAACAAGGACTTACGGCGCATGGCGGTAGCATGTTCAAGCCATCTTGTGCTAGAGCTGTATGAACAAAACTACTCAATGTTGTGAGCCCTATGACGAGCACCTCATTCCACCGCATGTTGAGTAGTATAAAAGACCCAAGAAGGTGAGCCACGAATATGACGAGCTGTCGATCCTCGTTCAATGATCATTGATACATATAGTGTACGACGGTGGTGAAAAAGCAGAAGAAAGGCAGCCATGGCCAAATGCCATCCCGAATCTTGGGTATCATCAGCACGTTTCCGTACATCCTTACCAGCATCCTGGTATTCGATATCCCAGTTGATATTCAGGAGAATTTGTTTCTGCTTGACCTGCGTAGGATTCGAGGCGAACTCTACCGAGCAGGCTGCATGACCGACGTGCCGTCCCAGGCGGCTCGGCACCCGGGGACTACCGAAAGGGTTAATGGGATCAGAAACCTAGCTGAATTGAGTCCTCGCCGATGTACATATTGATGCGGAAGTTGTTTTGTGAAGATGTAGTAAGCCGCGTAGTGAGTAATCCGATCAATTCTTAGAATGCGTGGCTACGCCAGTGTACATAGGGCCGAATGCCTACTACACGGCGTTGCCCTCACGACCATAGTATTCCTGGTGCCCTGGGAAAAAAGATGGAGAGGCGTTCAAGGTTGTGCATCCATCATCGCGGTTTCAGATCCTATTGGCTCCCCGCGGAAGTCCAGATATCCACACAACGTCAAATTGATAGTCTAGACGTTGTTGTGAGCTAAGTAGCGGCTCTTGGGCTTGCGCGTCTGTAGACTATAGTCTCATGCCTCGCGATTATGCATCCCTGGCGTAATTGAGGCGGCATTGGAGGACGGTAGGTGTGTGGAGGGCTGGCTTCGCTTCGCTTCGTGGCAGCGTGGGGAGACTGTGAACAGACACACGAGTAAGCTGCGTCGATAGGCGACAGCAAAGTTGAAGAAGTCACAAGTCATGCAAAACTCTGGAGGCGGCAGGCGGGATAGGCGACTCGGGACGGCGGCTGAGCCTGCTATGAACAGGGTGTTGCGATTAGGGTGCTGCCGTGGACCCCCTTGCAGAAGCAAACCCCATTCGGCCATTCCGAGCGCGGCAGCATCCTTCCGACTTCCCGCCACATGGCAATGAGAAAAAGCGATGCTGGACAGTCTGGACACATCAAATCGAACAACGAATAGTTCGCGGATTTCCTAAGCGACTTTTGTTCAGCTGGCGAAGCTGAGAACACCACAAGTTTGCTTTTGCGACTCGTGCAAAGCGCACACCATGGCCAGAACGCGAGGGTCTGCGGTACGCCCCGGCACTTGCAGCGTGCCCACAGTAGAGAGACCCGCATTTCGGCATCGTCTCTCCTTTCAGTATACTGGGACGGCCTGTTCGAGTCGTAGCTCGCTATCGGGGGCCTGAAAGGGTTGGCTGCAGAGTGCTGCAGTTACCGATGAGCGACGATGGAAGATAATTCCGTCTGTCCCCTCCACCATCGTTCGCGTGGTGTTTCTGTCCTCCAACGTCGGGATATGCAACATGACGCTTCTACATGATGTTTTTCTGGGTGCACATCTTCGATCTGTCCTCTTGATCTACCTTTCTACATCTTTCGTCTCATACTATCTCGTCTGGACCATCTATACTCGAACCCTCCATCCACTAGCCAAGGTTCCAGGACCATTCTGGGCATCGGTATCACGAACATGGCTTATGTGGCACCATCACAAAGGCGACATTGAGATTATCGAGCGCGTTCTTCACCAGAAATATGGCCCCATCATTCGAATCGCACCCGATGAGGTAGTGACGACCGACACCACGGCCATTCCACACATCTACCCGGTTCAAAAGGCCCTACAAAAGACGGATTGGTACAATCCATGGCGACCATCAGGACTAAACAGCCAGCCGGACTTGTTCACGCAGACCAACGAGAAAGCGCACGCAGCGTATCGAAGGATTGTTGGAGGTGTCTATTCCCTTTCCAGCATACTGAAAAACGAACCGAATCTGGATGCGACCTTGGAACTCTTTCTTGAACGATTGGGTAGCTTCGCCGATAGCAACGAAGTATTTGACTTTGGTCTTTGGCTCGAGATGTAAGTTACAAATTAGCTTTCACCGATTTCACAGTCTAACTTGTGGTTAGGTACTCTTTTGACAGCGTCGGTGTCGCCTTCTTCGGTCAAGCCTTTGGTTTTCTCAAGGACAGCATCGATTACAACAACTACATCCACTCGGTCCATCTTGCGATGCCATTTCTTACACTTCTGACAGTCACTCCGTACTACATACGACCGTTTCTGCTTTTGGTCGCTGTGTGCATTCCGAGCTTACTGAAGGCTGTGCTGGCGGTGGAGGATATCAAGAAGACTGCGATTATAGAGACGAAGACAGCTACCGAGAGAACCCTTGAAGTGACGGGAAAGCGACCCGACCTACTTTCTCAGCTTCTGGCGATTGTGCAAGAAAAGGGAGAGAAAGTAAACTACTCGCACAGAGAGATCACATCGGACATGTGGGTTGCAATGTATGTGTACTGACAGAACAGCTACCCTGGAGTATCATGCTGACTGTTATTAGCATGGCTGGAGCTGATAGCACGTCCATCGCAATGCGCTCCGTTTTCTATTTCTTGATGAAGAACCCCGATAAACTGGAAAAGGCGCGCGCAGAAGTTGATGCGGCCTTTGAGAACGGTGCCCTCTCATCACCAGTACAGTACAGTCAGGTATATTCTCTTCCATACCTCGTAGCGACTGTGAAGGAAGCCCTGAGATTATTCTCTCCATTCTCGGTATCGATGCCTCGGTACGCTCCGAACGAAGGAATCACTCTGTGCGGGAAGTACATCCCAGCGGGCTACACAGTTGGAATGAACCCTTCAATCGTTTCGCACGACAAAGACATATTTGGAAAAGATGCGCTAGAATTCGTTCCCGAGCGATGGCTGCAGAGTGAAGATCGTACGCGGGCGATGGAGAAGACAATCCTAGGTTGGGGTGCTGGGACACGCACATGCGTTGGCAGACCCGTGAGTTCTCCGTGATCACATACTAGAGAAATACTAACAATACACAGCTCGCTTTGACACAGATTTACAAAGTGACTGCCGAGGTATTGCATCGGTTCGACTTTGAGATGGCACATGACAAGCCATGGAAAACGCACAATGCTTCTTTCAACGTCCAGACTGGTGTTGAGTGTAGGTTCAAACGAAGAGGTTCGACTACACCTTAGTCTCTTAGATATAGTCAGTATTGCGGTTACATGTGCAAGACCGTCGCAGTCTAGAGTATAGACAATACTGGAGACGCTTGGTCATCGCCCCAGCCGAAACGCACATTCAGAAGTTGTATGCATTGTACTGAGCTTTCCATGTTGTGCGCGGTTAGACCTCGAAAGATCGCTTTTAGCAACTTTTAGTGTTGTGTTGCTCCAAAGCAAGTTCAGGCCTCCCTGTGGTTGCCAAAATCAACGAGATAATTACCTTAGAGAAGACGCCGATAATGACTTAGTTGAAGATGCATTGTCTTCGTCGGTCGGCTTTTGCTTCCCCAAGAAGAAATCTCGGGGTGCAGGGTCCGGTGTTTTACCCAATCAAAAGTCATCATGACGTCAACCTCTGTTCATGGTCCCATGTGCATTCTCAAAACTTCGCCATTTGAGACGCCGATAACTGTTCCCAAACGGCGATTATCATCGGCGACTTCAACAGGCGACTGAGATTGAGAGCAAGGATAAAGTTCATATATCTAAGGCCTTACCAGTCGTAGCATCAGTCAACACCGAGAACCAATATCACCCAGAACACAACATGGACTCGCTTCCCGTGAACAACAAGACGGCCGGTGAGCCTGAGAGTGCATACAACAACACACTTGAAACCGGTGCTGGTATGACTCAGGTAAGCATAATTCCGCTCGTGTAGTGACTACGCTGACCAATTGTACAGAACTTCGCACCAGTCAAGAGGATATGCGCTCACCTCAACGCCTTCCACGCGTATGCTCACGACCCCAAGCGCGATGCAGTCGAATCAAACCACTACTGCGCGCACCTGAACGATGAAGTACGCCAATGCATCCTCTACGACTCTCCCGAGAAAGGCGCGCGAATCATCGGCATCGGTAAGCATCCTACGTCCTCAACCGCAAGACTTCATACTAATACAATCTCAGAGTACATGATCTCTCCCAAACTCTACTCAACCCTCGACGCCGAAGAGCAAAAGCTCTGGCACTCCCACGTCTTCGAAGTAAAGTCCGGAATGCTAATCATGCCGCGTCCAACCGGCGTACCAGAAGCCGCATGGGAAGTAGCCGAGAACAAAGAGATGGAAGAAGTCGTCGAGCTGTACGGCAAGATCTACCATCTCTGGCAGACTGACCGTGGCGACAAGTTGCCGCTGGGACCACCGCAGTTGATGACGAGTTATACGGCGGCGGATCAGATGCCGGATTTTGAGAAGAGGCTGAAGGAGAGGGATCAGCGGTTCGATAGCGATTATCAGAGGAAGAAGGGGGTGAGGGAGTATATTGAGGTGCCGAAGATTCATGAGAATGCTGATGCGACGTGGGCGAAGGGGGGTGTTGGTCATTAGAAGAGCACTGTTGGAGGGGAAGGTGGTGAGAATGAGGCATTCTTGAGGCGTTAGCGATGCATGTTGAAAGGTGGGGGCTAGGCATGAACTGCATGTAACATGGGTGGGCGAAAGCTATTTCGCTGAATCGATATTAAGTTATGCTACAGTTACACAATATTAAGTACATATGTAAAAACCAAGACATGTTGCCGAAGATAACAATGTAGCAAACACTCGAGCTCCCCTCCTCCCTCTCGAGTCTAGAGCCAGCTCTAAACCCATGACTCACGCGTCCTTGCCCACACAATCATTCTAGTATACAATCGATAAAACGATGTCAATATGATCTATTCGTGAATCCTCTCCATGAAAGTCGATCTTACATAAGATCGTGAATGTTCGATCTCCTCGCAGCCTTCTTTCCCTCTGTGTTTCCTGTGTTCCGCCGCTGGGTTGCACGCTCATCAGGGTCAGATGGCGGGGTGTGTCTCAGCCTTTCGGGTCGACTGGACGTCGTCGCGCCCAACGAGGGTTGCTGATAAGGTTGTCGTGGTTGTTCTAGATAGGGACGTTGGTCTAGGCTCAGAGTCTCAAGAGGACGAGTGACAGCCGCGGACATGTCCGAACTTGGGTCTGTCTGTCGTCGACGAGGAGGTTCTGGATATGCTTCGCGTGCGTCATATTCGGGTTGCTGTGTGTCATAGGAATATGAACCTTGCAGTGAACCATAGGCAGCAGCTTGATGGGGGACATGTCCTTGACGGTGATGTGGATCATACTCTTCAGCGTAACCTTGCTCGTGTCTAGGTGGGGGTTGCTGGAAGGCACGTGGAGGTTGAGTTTGCTGTGTGTCCGGTCTAGCTAGGGGGTAATGTGACACAAACGTAGGCGGCTGTTGCTGTGGGGGTTGCTGGAAGCTACTTGCTTCAGTATACGACGTGTCCCATGTTCGTGATCTCGCCGGAGTTGTAGTGGGATTGGAAATCTGTGGCATTACTGCTAGTGGCACTGGAGGCCGCCGTGACCCATCTGCTTGAGCGGGTGGTATTTCCCATGTTCGTGATTTTGTCGGAGCTTGAGAGGCATGAGAAATCGACGATATGGGTGGTAATTGTTGCTGCGGGGGCTGCTGGAAGCTATGAGTATGCGACGTGTCCCGTGTTTGTGGTATCGACGGAGCTGTAGGGTAAGCAGGGCCCAGCTGTGGACCTTGGGGCTGTGCATTGCCAGTAGCAACTCTACGTCGTGGTCTACCCGGTTTCAGTTTTGCTCCTGTTTCAATAGAGCCCTGGCTCAGGTTGTAGAATGGGTCCACGGCGGGTTTCTTGGGTCCATGGGCATAATCAGGAGGCCCAGTCTTAGAATTGTACACTGAGCTGGCCGTCTTGAACGCTGAATCAACCGAGATATTCTTTTGCTCACCCATATAGCGGGGTTCTGCTTTTGGTGGTCCAAACTTCCCAGAGGATGTCATATAGCTGGGTGGTGCTTTTGGTGCTCCAAACTTCCCAGAGGATGTCACCGCAAAATTCCCCTGAGGAATCGGTCTTTGCCCTTGCTCCGCTTCCTTGCGGTGTTGCTCATCAGCCTTTTTCTTCTCATCAGCCTTTTTCTTCTCTTCAGCCTTTTTCTTCTCATCAGCCTTCTTCTTCTCATCAGCCTTTTTCTTCTCATCATCCTTGTCTCCAGAACCCCTACCCCTACCCCTACCCCTACCTGGTACTCCACTCATAATGGCTGATGGTACAGAAAAGAGGCTTGGGCCCAACTGTGTTTGACGAGGGACAGATACGGTCGTTGAGCGTAGTCGTGTCTCGTGGAGCTGGAATGATGATCAAGTTTGTTGTCGATATAGTCGAATGATGCTGTAAATGGTAGTGTGTGTATGCGTTGTCTGTGAGGTCTAAGGAAGAGTAAGTGTAAGTGCTGGGGCGGCTACTTATAGCCACCAATGCATCGTGGGTTCTTCACAGGACGAAGCATTGCGTGCTTGCAGTATGTGATTGTGTATGCGTGATATTGATATCCAGTCGTTCAACTCCGAGCCTAGGTCCCATATCTGCAATGTCTACATTTTACATTGAAGAGCATACCGGAAGGTTGCGTGATCCTTATGCTACATTAGCTTCCGCACAGAGCCACAGGTGAGGGGTTATACCGAATCTCGTTCGCTCTTCACACATCAGGCCTTTGACAGGCGAACCAGTGCCTGGATAGGTGAAGGCCTCAGTATGAGCATGCGGATCGCGCGCAAACACTGTCGTATCCGTAGCTCAGTCCGTTTCTGAAGGCGCCCGTAATGACGGCAATCATCTTGGCCAGCATCTCATGTTGACTCTGTTGTGTTTTGCACGACCTCGATGCTCGCAGGATCTCTCTTCTCGCGCCCCATCAGCTTGCCCAACACATCCTTTTCCTTATCGCCGTCTTCCGCATCGCTCGCGCTGTCCTTGTCACTGTCCACGTTCGGGTCTTTCTCTTCGAGAACGCCTAGTCCAAGGTCCTAGACACTGTCAGCAACGCCATGCGATACCCTCGAGATCCAGAACTCACCATCTCAATATACGGCTCGCCCTCGTCCTGTCCCTCTACAGATTCCAGGCTCTTCAGCGTCCCGGCCTTCTTCTGCGCCTCCAATTCCTCGTTCGCAGCCTTCAACTGCGGCAGAAAGTCTTTGAGGAAGCCGCGAATGTCTGGTCCTAGATCTTCGTTGCCCAACTTCATAATTGGCTTCGTGCCTCTGTTGGCGCGGAGGTTTACGACGCCGTCTTGTGATTGTGGATCTTCAAGCTCCATCTCTGTGTCCTCGCCATCGTCGTCTTCCTCCTCGCTTGAGCTCTCGTCGCTGCTGGGCTCTTCGCTCGATTCGGATAGTTCGCTGTCGCTATCCGAGGTGCCAAAGTCGCTTGCATTCGTGGTAGAATCGTCTGCAGCGTTTGTCGACGCGAGGGCGGAGTCAGAGGATATCGAGGGCGGCGAGGACTCAGGCTCGTTGGAGAAGCGCACGCGTTTGCTGCGGTGCGCGACGGCTTCGTGGACGTATGGCGACATAATTCCTCCGTGGTGTTCGATATGGGTAATCTTAGGAGAGACGTTTAAGGACGTCTACGCGTTTGGAAGTGGGTTACAAAAGTCTGGGGAAAAAGTTGGGCAAGATTCAAAGTTTCGCGCAGACGGGTGCAGATCTCGCGCCAGGGTAGCGAGCCGGAGAAGACCCTTGGCTACGTCACCGCCCTCTCCAGCACATGGCGCCGACAGCCAATGCCAACCAGATATGCACACATCACATGTTCAAGTACATCTATAATAATGGGATATCCCGTCAGATGCTCCACAGTCCAAGGCGTGCGGCTGCAGATTGGCCTGAGGCAGAAGCGACTCGTTGGTGTCAGCAGGGGTCGTGAAACGGCGTCTTGAAACGTAGTTAGAGCGGGCGCCTGCATGGCTGACTTGTGCTGTCCGAGGGGTTAAGCCTCTTAAAGCTCCAGCTGGCCTCGTACATATCCGACCTCACCCCTTCTCGTCAATCTTTACAGTCTCGCTGCTGTCATCCTCCTCTCTACCTGTTCTCATAGCTTTTGTGACGCTGTCTGCAAGAGTCCGTGTGTCGCTGCCCCGCTCCGACTTTCATCAGTATTCACCAACCGTGTGCAAGGCTCAATTGTCTTTGCGCGAGATTTCTGACTATCAGATATTAGGTATGTACTCATTCTCTCATGTCTCTACAATCTCTACAAATTCATCCATCTCCGTTCCCGTCGTCTCTTTCTTGCCACCCGATCGAAAGTCGGCCCCAGAATTGTCCACATGCACCCATCCATGGATCTTATCAAGATCGATCTGCCCCGATCCAGCATCAGCATCAGATGATTGCATATTTCCCTATTGAGCATCTCCTATCGTCTTGCGCGTTCTGCTATTGTGCCAGCATGATCAGATTTCATCGACCCCAACGCTGAGCGCTGGTTGGTCCACTCGTCTTCACCTCCAGCGTTCACCTTCACCACCGTCATTCAAGCGAGCCCACAATAGAATTCTCTGCTATTGTTTGTCTTTGCAATGAGGAGGCTGGGAGAGCATAAAAACTTTCCAATCGCTCGTCCTTGACTGTCTCTCGTCCATCACACTCCAGTTCTTCACAAGCCTCCACAATCTGCAAACCACCATCCGCCAGTTTTCTATATCTATTCAGAGACACTCAGTCGTCACTTCTTCTTTCTACATCACTCTATCCTATACCGCATTCACATCCATCACCATGACCATGAACGAGACCATTCGTATCATCGGCATGCTCAGGGCCTCTGCTGCTCAGAACGCTGACCAGGCCAAGCTCAAGGAGCGCGAAGTTTTCTTTGCCTCGGCCAACGAGACCCGCAAGAAGCTTAGGACTGCAGCAGCTGCCCGCAAGTCCACCTCCGTCTCTCTTCTTGAAGACCTCATCTACGCGACCAAGCACGGCGTACCCTACTCCAACGAGCCCCTGACGTACGAGGCCAAGGCCGCCGCTGATCGCATTCTCGTCACCCTCAACAAGGCCATTGCCCGTGAGACCATCCTCGTCGTCCCCAACGTCCAGCCCAAGGAGACCTCCGAGGACCTCGCCAACGACCTCGCTATCGAAAACAGCAAGCGCATCTTCACCGCGCGTTCCAACATCAAGGAACTCCAGCTCATCAGCAGCAACCTCGGCATCCCCATCAAATCTCCCGCCATGGCTGGTCGCTTCCCGGTGCTCAGCACTTCTGACCTCCCGAAGGCATCGGCTGAAGAGCAGTCGGCCACGGCCTCGCCTGCGCGCGGCACCGCCATGCTCAACAACATCTTCAAGTCGGTGCGAGTACCCGAGTTCCGCTTCAAGTGGATGTTCTGGGCAGAGAAGGGTCAGCAAGCCGCGCCCAAGGACAAGGCGGCTTCAGAAGAGTACCTGACCCGCCCCAAGCCGCTCGGAGACCAGATCGTCTCCGTCAAGGAGTTCTACCAGCACTTCAACAACATCCCGGTGGAGAACCTGAAGCTGCGAGACTCGATACACCTCTTCCACCTGGGTGTGAAGCCGGTCTGGGAAGACCCGCGGAATACGCGCGGCGGCGCATGGTACTTCAAGGTCAGCAAGGACGTGGCGGCGCAATTCTGGCACGAGATGTGCCTGCTTGCGGTTGGTGACGTTTTGCAGGGGGCCGTCGAGACGAAGCGTGCCTGTAAGTTTATTCCTCTCCAACATTTCACACGTATTCAAGACTAATAATCAACAGCCTTCAACGACGACATCTGCGGGATCTCGTACAGCGTTCGCTGGAACGCTGTACAGATCGCCGTCTGGAACCGGGACGCGGAGAACGAGGATGGCCGTCAGAAGCTTCTGGCGGTCATCCTCGACAAGCTGTCAGAGGAGCTCCGGCCGAAGAAGGAGGACAGCTACTGGTACAAGGCGCACAAGGAGCACAAGGGCTTTATTGAGCAGTAGTGAGCCGACCTTGTACCGGTGGCTGTCGCTCAGATGAGAATGAGCTGATGGAGGGGGTGATGGATGAGGCGGGGAGTACGTAGACGAGCTTTAAGCCACACATATGCATATCAGCATCGGCGTTGATGAATACATCCTTTTCGACACGCACGTGAGTGTCTTTGTTGATCCACAGAATGCCTCCTCCCTGATATGACAGCTCCTCTTCCGTGACTTCCCCATACACGGAAGCGTACCAAGGACGAGTAAGAACATCATGTAACAGCCTGGACTATCTAATGAAGACGCCTCAACCCGCCGGCATGTTCTCGTTCTGCATCCGTGGTGGTAGTGTTTGCGCCAATCACGGGCATCGTTCGCCGCAGACGCTCGGACCATATTTCCAGTAGAAGCATCATCCACTTCTCACGATTCTCCGCATCTTGCCTGCCGCCGCCTCACCACACCAAACCCGTACAACCCGCCAACCATGGCTGCGATACCCACCTCCCTCTTCCGCTGGGTCGTTCCTGCCGCCATCGGCGCCAGTGTCGTGCAGAGCTCCCTCTACGATGTCAAGGGCGGAACCCGCGCCGTCATCTTCGATCGTCTGTCGGGAGTCAAGGAACAAGTCGTCAACGAGGGCACCCACTTTCTGGTACCATGGCTGCAGCGGGCAATTGTCTTCGATGTCAGGACGAGGCCGCGCAACATCAGCACCACAACCGGCAGCAAGGACTTGCAGATGGTCACACTCACACTGAGGGTGCTGCATCGCCCAGAGGTCAAGCAGCTGCCTAAGATCTACCAGGTATGTCTATGCCACCCCGCACTCGTGCAGCAGGCAGCTTGAGGAATTGCATCTAACGCGCTAGTAGAACCTCGGTCTCGACTACGACGAGCGTGTCCTGCCCTCCATCGGTAACGAAGTCCTAAAAGCCATCGTCGCCCAGTTTGATGCCGCCGAACTCATCACCCAG